TAGCTTCAAGTTAGTTAGCAGACATCAGCCTCTAACTACAAACTGTAAGTAAATGTAAGTTCCTCATTTGAGTACTATGCTTAGTTTCAGATTTATAGTCTTCTACAGCTACTTCAACCCAAATAATTTTCAGGACATTTCTGCCTTCCTACCCACATGTACATCCACTAGTTTCACATCTCTACCAAATGCGAGGACAGAAATGAATCGGTGGAATCAGGCTCGAGTGACTCGTTGGCCACACAGCTAGGTCATTATATATGTGTAGCAACATAGGATGCAAGGGATGCTCCTAGTGGTGCTGCAGTCATGATTCTTTCCTACCTTGAAGAACAAGACTAGAGGAACAGAGTCGACCTTTATAACAATTCCAAATTTGGATGGATGCCTCTACTTTCTGTACCTAACGGATCCCGCATAGACCTTGTGAAATGTGCAACTTCATAGATCACCCACCAGTGGCCTCAAGAATCATGCCTTTGATTGCATCTTCAGTAACTGTCCTTAAAATTATCGCATTATGTGTGTTATGTTGTATTGTACATATTATATGTATTACTGTTTTATAAGCATCCTATGCACTGGGAAAAATGTTCTAGGATGAGCCCAGATATGTTAAAGAAAGTAAAAGCCATGCTAGGCATTTCGAGTGAGATCATTTAACTTAAGGGGCTGCTTCCAAGGGTTATGCAAAAAGTAGGAAGCTCACCTTCTGAAGCATCTCTGAAGCAGTTCAGAGGTGAGGGTTAGAAGGGCTCAGACAGGAAGCAGCTTGAACAGAAGCCGCAGTCATCTTGCTGGAAGGAAGATCAACACAGGGGCTGCGTGGAGGCAGACAAGGGTAGGACCACAAGAGAACATTGAACACTTCTGCCAGAAAATGACCCTGAGGCAGACAGCAAGCGGGATGCCTGTTTCCTTCTGACTTCTCCTGAGCCCAGAGGCCTCTCCGTCTCACGAGACTGTCCCTCTGGAGCTCTGAATCCGGCTCCTGCCTTGTCTGGTGCCACCTACTACGAAGAGCACCTAGAGGCAGAAATCAACTTTTTTTTCCTGATCAATTGGAGGACCATATGATTAACTTAACTTTTCAGTTATGCAAATGTACTGTCTTAAATGTATAGATTCATGACAGTAACTGTATTTCCTTTATGAATATAGTTCTATAGCAGGGATTTCACAAGCTGTCATACAAGCATGTGCAGTGATGGGGTTAGAGTGCATGATGAAAGATCTTCACCCTACGATTCATTTTGGAGTTTGATGAGAAGGTTTAACGCAAGTCCCGTCAAAAGCTCATTACTACTTTTTGTGAATACAGAAGATATGAAGTGAAGATTTATATGTAAATGCAAGCTGGAATAACTAAAGTATCTCGGAAAAAATAAAATGAGAAGAATCTGTGTACACACACGCACACACACAGGTCAGAGCTTCCAGTGAGTCCTGCTTGCTAATGAATAATGACCTTGCAGCGCACACACTGTGTTACACTGGTCACCAGGGCTAGAGTCCCGCGTTACCACTTAAGGGTCATTTGAACATGGAAGAGTGACTGCGCTCCTGCGCTGCAGTTCCCTTGCCTGTTATTTGGCCCGCATTGATTTGGTAAGGAAAAAGTGAGTAATTAATTCCTAATGGATGCATGATGCCGAATAGACCTGGTACGTGACATTCGATCCATTAAACAGTAATAATTATTACTTTAGGGATACATTTCTCTTGTTCACTTTTCAACCATTCTAATCTTTTTTCTCACCGCGATTTCTTTTTCTGCTTTATTAGGGCGTCTGCTATGCAAAGTAAACCAACATGTCAATGAATGACTTAAATTTTCTTCCAAAGATGAAAGTAAGTCTTACAGATATTCTTTACCTGGACCACTTTTTTGCCCCGGAAAATATCAAAGCTTAAGCCATTATTCATTCGATTCATATTTGCTAAGCATCTTTGAGTGCACACACTTCGTTGTAAATGTCAGAGATACAGCTAGTAACAAGCGTATCCTCTGTTTGAAGAGAGCATGAACTCTTACAAAAGGCGACATAACCAAGTCTCACACCGCCTGCCCCTGGTGAGACTCTTTCTGCCTGTAGCCCCTGCTCTCTGTGAGGGTGGAACCCAGGCAATCCAGGCAAAGCTTCTAACTTGCGTTTCAGGTTGGGCCAGCCTGTGGGGCTGCTCTGTTCCGCTTTATTCCACGTGGTGTCACTCTGTCCCTGCCAAGGACACAGACTCCTCGGGCTTAATTTCTCAATTGCTTTCACTGCAGTGAAAGATTACATTGATTTTGAGTCACAATAATGAATTAAAAAAAAAACAATGCAAAAAGCAATTTTCACTGTTAAACATTGTGGTAAATATTTCCAATTGTCTCTCATTTTGGTCAAGCATCAAAACAATTATCATCAAAGTACTAGATTAAAAACTCAAATTTTCAATATGTATTTGCCACAGTGTCATTACAAATATCCATACCTACATACCTACACTATATTAGGGAACAATAAAGTCTTTCTGATGAAAGAAAACCATAGGGAAAAGTCCATGAAGAAAAATGTTAGTGTGGAGATACATACTTATGCATGGTTTCAAAAATCCAACTCCACAAATTAGCTGATCTTGTCTAAGCTAACGAACTTTTCAAATTGCAGGCGAAGGAGAAAATTTGGAGTTAACAAAGCTTTGGTTTTCAGATCGTCGCCGCTCCTTGGGAGGGGACTTGATGTGGACAGTGGGGTCGGAAACCTTAGCAGAGGCACAGGGAGAAATCCCAAGAAGCAGAGAGTTGTGACGACTGCAGGAGATCGTGACTAGGAACCGGGGCTGTGCGTGACAGCCTCCCAGGAGACATTTGGGCAAAGGGTAACTTATTGCTCCTTGACACACTTTCCACACTTTTCAAGTAATTCGATTCTTTGCTTCCAGAGTACAGCAGGAGAGGAGTAGGATGGAGGCGGCACCTCTGAATATATCTCCGAATATTTCATATAAAACTGTAGGCATCTCTTGATTACTTGTGAGGAAAACTCAAAATCCTACCTAGGCAGTAAGACACTTTGTCTCCAAAAGTCGGCAAGCAAGTCACAAAAGTTATGAGATTATTCCTTTCTACCATTGCACCTAATCAAGGGCTAACAACATGACGGGGACTTCGTAGGTAATTATAGAGTATAATTTATGAAATCCAGCCAAGGCTTAATTCCTGGGAGTACAGGGCCACTCTTAAAGGTGCTGCACAAAAGCACCTCACATTCTAGGTGCTAAAAAATTCTACCCAGATGCAGTGAAACCAGAAGCAGCACACTTATCTATTTTATATGTTATTTTATTGAATTGCACAGATGACTTGGGAATATATCTTTATGGTAACTATGACAAATGAAGCACTTTATGCTTTCCCAATGAACTTTCCTATATTTATACACATGTCCAAGTATGTGTTTGAATTTTTCTGTCCACACTATGGCTATTTTGCGGCACTTTTGTCTCCTTACCTTTGATCTCAGCCAAAAGGCCAAGGAGAAATACACTTTTATTTCTTTTCACTCATTTTTTTTACTAAGTTGTCAAATAAACCTCTAACGAGGGCCCCCTGTAGGTCTTGTTAATTACAAGGCACACAGGTGGATGAAGGCGCCAGTGCAATGAACAGGGACGTCCTGGGTGACAGGATCGATCACCGTGCTGGCACGGGGGACTGCACAGATACCAGATGGCAGGTAGCAAATCCCTCTAGTCCTGCCTTTTGTTAGGAGGAAAAACTTAACCGGGGTGTGTATGGGGGGATAGCTTGACTACGGCGTTACTACGGAAGGAGTGCCCCGAGATAAAACGAACAGGGTAAAGTCAGTCTGGTTGATAAGTGGGGAAGCAGGATGTGGAAATTCATATAATTATATAAGAGGACATGGCATGTGCAAGAGCTGTTGACAGGTGCAGAGAGGGTAAGAAGCGAGCAGTGGCTGCACTACGAAAGGTGCTTTGTTCTGAGGGTTGCAGTAGAAAAATGTGATGCCATGGTGGGTTTGGGGCAGGTAGGTGCCGTCATCAAGAGCTTGCCTTTTAGAAAAGTCAGTGGGCCGCAGCTTAGAGATGGGACAGACTTTGAGACACATCTAGGAGACAGCAGCACCTCAGCGAAGGCAGGGAAGAAAATAACAAGAAGTTAAGAGATTAGGGCTGAATTGGGACATAATTTGGGGTGAATTGGGAAGATAATGGGAAAGAAAAGGACTTGTCCCTTCTGGATCTTACAGGGCAACAGGGTCTGATGTCCACAAATGGACTCCTCAGCAGGAGGCTATTCAGCTGCCACGTTGCCCATGTGCCCCCTTGCGCTTCTCAGAATCAAGGCTATAATTGTCCCTTGGCTGCATTCTCTCTTGAAGTTTTATAAAGAAAGTAAGAAGAAAAAGGAGAAAGTAAAGCAAAGGTAGAAATGAAAGACCAAGAGGAGAAAGAAGTAAAAAAGAAAGAAGAGAAAAAAGAAAACAAAAAAAGAGAAACACTAGTATAAAGTGAACAATAAAATAATAATGTTTTATTCCTCACACACCTGGTTTTCAAATCTCATTTCTACCATTTGATGATGCTCAGGTTTTGACAATCTTAAGACGTAACACATGAACTTGCTAACCCAGTAGCTATTTCCAAATTCATCCTCCTCTTTTGTAAGTTCCACAAACATTTTCCTAACTAGCGAGACAGTACAGTATTTGGAAGGCAGTGCCATAGAAAGGCAATCTGCTGGGAAGGTAAAGAAAAGGGAACCCATCACGTCTGAAGCTCTCGTCATGAGGCAGTGATTGCCAACTCTACACCAGGCAAGGTTATTGAATTAAAGATGCACGCCAAGATGCAGGGTAGAGAGTATGTGTGTGTTTACTTTCGTTTGTTTTAATTTTTAAAATTATTTTAAAGCCACGAAGTAAAGTACAATACAGAACATAGAACAGAACAAGTCGATTTTTATGAAGTCATCACCACCGTCACAATTATCCCGGTCAAGTATACCTGGATTTATTATTCTTCCCAAAAGTCCTCTATGTGCTTCCCAATTTCAATCCCTTTTCTTATAACAAGGGCTTTCTTGCATGTTTACAGCTTTGTCTTCCTAGAAGTGCGTTCTCAGGTACTACAATTTACTTATTTTATATTTCATCTCAGGCATTGCTACTTTCCCCTCTTCTCCCCACTTCCTGTTTCCCCCATCCGGAAGACCCTCCCCATCTCCGTTAAACCTACCACCCTGTTTCTTTTATTTTTGGTACCTGGGATCGACCTCGGGTCCTTGCGCTTGCGAAGCAGATGGCAGAACCCCTGAGCTAAATCCCCCGTCCCCTAACCACTCTGTTTCTCATCACCTGTCTTTTTTTGTTTTCTCTTTATTTATATTTTTGGTTGCTCATATAAAGGAAGACACACCTGTGTGCATGCAAGCATCCGTGTGTATTCAAAAGCATCAGAAAGCTAGTAAGTATACATTGGATTAGTTTTAGGGACAGAATTTTGAAGTTGCTTTCAGAACCTAGGCCTTATATTCTGTGTTATTTTCGTCATAGAGATTTTTTTTAAAGTGAGACTTTTACAAATCTGAGAAGCTGGCAGATTTTCAGAACACATCAAAGCACTGGGAGGACAAAACTTGGATTTCAGAAATCAAGAAGGAGTGGGAAATACTTACATCCAGGCTTTTCAGGAGGGATCTCAAAAGACCATGCACGGATAACCATGGTGAGTTAGAAATTTTGGTACCAGGGATCAAACTTAGGACCTTGTGCTTGCCAGGCAGGTGTCGTGCCACTGAGCTAAATCCCCAGCCCTAAATTTCTTTAAACAGTTTGATTACATTATTTTAGTTGAGGCATATGCAAATTTAAAAACTGAGAAACCATTAACAGCTATCAAAAATGATCATCACTGAGATATGAAAGAGAAAGAAGTAAATGTGATTTCTAGAAATAAAAAAACTAAAATAATTGAAATGGCAAAGTTAGTTGGTGGATAAATAGTAGGTAACATACTACTGGATAGATGACTATTATACTTACCAGTGGTGCATCTACAGATGATATCCAGAGTAACTAAAACACAAAGTAACATCCCAGAAAAGCACAGCTAAAGGAAGCTCAACCTCAATCAAGTAGCCTAAATAAAGTAAATATATACCTAGGCACACTCCAGTGAAACTATAGAATCCAAATAGTAGAATATCTTATAAAAATATTCAAGGAAAAAATAGAATCTCTTACAAAAGAATAACAGTGATAATGTAATAAAACTTTCAACAAGAAGAAAAGTGAGAAATTGCTATAATCGTAGGGAGTATTTGCCATGTGTGGACCAACACTGCCAGAATTGTGAGAGATGTGTTTTACAAAATGACCCAAGAAAGTCTGAGATATAGAGAGAAATAGAGAACAAAGAGATCAATTAAATGGGAAAAGAATTTGCAAGCTATTCCTCAGACAGAGGCTAAAGCAAAAATATATATAAAGAACTCAAAATTATTAGACTCTACCAACCAAAAATGGTCAACCAAAATGAACAGACACTTCTCAGAAAAAGTACAAATGGTCAATAAATACACGAAAAAATGCTGATGATTAATAGCCATCAGAGAAATGCAAGCTAAAATTACACTGAGATACCATATTAAGCCAGAAAGAATGGCTATCAACAACAAAAAATCTAATAATTCTAGTGAGGATGGGGGGAAAAAGAACTCTTGGTGAGGTAAACTATCACAACCACTAAAGAAATCACTACAGAATACTCAATGGATGCAACTTGAGAACAGATAATGTTAAGTGAAGTAAGTCACACACACAAGCCCAAATATTTCATGGTCTATTCTTTTTTTTTAAATGAGAAATGCAAATAAAAAACAAAATAGATTTTCACACCAAGAGAAACTATTTGGTATTTACACACGTGTGTCCTATTTATTTCACTTAAGAGTATCCATTTTCCCATAAATGTCTCCAGTTTCTCCATTACAGCTGAGTAGTACTCTATTTTATAGAAAAACCACATCTTCTTTAACCAGTCTCCATTTGATGGACAGTTTGTTTTAGCTAGAAGTATAAATAAGGTTCAGTATAGTTGATAATATGAAATAGGAAAGAAGGGCTACAGGAGTAGGGGAAGCAGGAAGGGGATGGGGGAAGGAAAGAAGGGAAAAGAAAAAGTATGAGGAAAGGAAAAAATGGAAACAAAATCTTTGTAAGTAGGGAAGGGTGGAGGGGGTGAAGGGAGGGCAGGGGTATGGGAAAAATAATAGAAACAAAGAGGGCTGGAGATTTAGCTCAGTGATGCTGCCGCCTGCCTCACAAGCACAAGGTCCTGAGTTCAATCCCTGGTACCAAACAAAGATATATATCATGTAAAGGTACAAGATCCCAATGATGAATGTAACTATATGGTACACCTAAAAAAAGTACCAATAAACTCAATAAAAAAAACAAGACAAACAAGACAAATAGGAAATAGGGGAATATACATCCCTAAACTACAAATTCCATTGTTTCAAAAAATATCTCCATATATCCACTAATTGGTTTCATTTACACTGCTAGTTTATTTTAGTTCATTGAAAAGAAAAATTTGAGTTATCTTTCTTTTTTGAATGAGTCTTTTTGGTTTACATCTTGTACTCTGAGTAACTACTTTAAAGATAATGATATGCAATACAATAACTATTGTTCTTTTATTATTTGATTATGAAGTTTTGTTTTATTTTTTCATAAGAAGTTATAAAATAAAAAACAGATGGTCATCATATGTCAATCTAAGTAAACATAATTTACATAAAGCAATTAAAACACAGTATCTGCATCTTCTATTATATTCTGTTCTTGTTACAGGAAATAAAGGATCAAAGATCTAAACATTAAACCACAAACAATCTGTTGGAAGATGAAATAGATAAAACTCTTGAAGACATAGGTATAGGTGAACATTATCTGAACAAAACCCCAGTTGCACAACAAACAATACAAAGAATCAACACACAGGATCACATAGAATTAAAAAGCTTTTGCACAGTAAAAGAAACCACTAACAGAGTAGAGACAACCTATGCAATGGGAAAAAAGTTTCTCAGCTACTGCTAAGAAAAAGGACTATTATCTACAATATATAAAGAACTCAAAAAACTAAAGACCCAGTTAGAAATGGGCACTTCTCAGGTGACAAAATACAAATTGCCAATAAATACTTTTTAAAATGTTTGATATTGCTGGACATTCCAAAAATGCAAATTGAAAAACAGACTCCAGGGCCAGGCGTGGTGGCTCACACTTGCAATCCCAGCACTTGGGAGGCTGAGGCAGGAGGATCGCTGTGAGTGTGAGACCAGCCTGGGCCACACAATGAGTTCCAGGTCAGTCTCAACTACATAGTGAGACCCTGTCTCAAAACAAACAACAACAACAGCAACAAAACATTCCATTTCACTTCAGAAAGGATGGCTACCATCTGGAAATCAACCAGTAACAAATGCTGGTGAGAAAGAAACCTTCTCTATTTTTGGTAGGTCTGTAAACTGATACAACCACCATGGAAATCACTATGGAGATCCCTCAAAAAACTAACAGTAGTTGACCCAGCTATTCCTTCTAGATGTCTTCCCAAAAGAGTTAAAGGTATTACACCACAGTGGTGAATGTACACTCATGTTTATAGCAGCATAAATGATCATAGACAAATCTTGTAAACTGCTTATATGTCCATCAATGAATGGACAAAGAAAATGCATTTATACACAATGGAGTATATACTCTGTCATAAAGAGGACAGAGTCATTTGGAGGCAAATGGAGACACCTTGAGACCATAATTTTATGTGAAATAATTCAGACACACAAGTTTAAATATTGCCTGATTTCTCTTATATGAAAAACTTAATCTATATTTACATATAAATTTCAAAATAAAAGGCAGATAGTAGGAGAAAAGAGAAATTTGTAATTCAGCACAGACAATGTATCTAAAATTGTATCTTGACTCAGTACAATTGTTTTACATGTTTTGTGTGGCCTGTTAGTCTGTTTTTCAATCTGTATATATGCTAATTAACTTCATACGGTCTTATGAACAGATGAATCTGATGCTGGAAAAATAAAACAGGAGTGGAGGAAAGGAGGAAAAAAATTGAAATGCATTATGTACATGTGCCAATTCCTCACAGTGAATGTAAATATTATATACTGCAAACAGGTACTAACAAAAGTCAAACAAGATGTACAAGGTCTATATTGTTAGGTTGCTCAAAATAGCACAATTTAAGAAATAGTAAAGTAACAAGGAATCAGGAAATAATAGAGAAAGCAAAGCTCAGGAAAGCAAGACATTTATTAGGTTTAAAATAAGGTACAGTAGTAGAGAGAATTCTAAATATATCAGTAATCACCATAACTGCTAGTGATTCAATTTGCTAGTGAAAATACATAGAGTATCAGATCTCTTATAGAATACCCTACAGGATGTTATTTGCAAGGTGTATATATAAATTAAGTGGAAGGTAATGTTAAATATTAAATGATAAAAAGGTAAGTAAATAGGAAAAGGAGTCTGAAGGATATAGCTTGATTTAATGAAAAATAAATGTTAAGACAGAAAAAAGTCACAGGGTTAATCAAGCTGTAACTGAGCATTTGGGTAAAGAGATTTGAACTTTTGAGCTATGCAGTCTGATTTCAAATCCTAGCTCTAAAATGTGTAAGTTTTGTGATCTTCATTAAGTTAGTGAAGGCCTCTCATACTTATTTGTAAAATGGGAGTTATTCAAGTGGCTGCTGTAGTGACTGCAAGATCTACCTAAACCCTTAGGACCATGCTTAGGAAGTGATAAAGCCATATATATGCCCTTAACTTTGATGTTGATTCTTCATGAGGAGGTAAAGTAATATAGCAAATCAACAGTTCTTCTCTCCATTTTATCTTCTAAAAATGTCAGAATGTTCCAGTAACTGAAAAGAACATGTGACATAGGTAATACAAATCGAAAAAGCCAAGGGTTGACTGCTAGAATATTGGGATATGATGTAAAATAGTCTGGAGATGAATTTGAGTTTAAGTCATTTCAGAGACTTCACTTTTTGTAGAGATATTAAAAACCACATTACCAAGGAGAATCCAAGTTTGTGTTTCCCCATCTATATCATTGGATGGCACAACTGGGTGTCCAGGTAAGAGAATAATCATTAACTGTTCTTGCTATCCTAATGGTTTTAACATAGACTCACAGTTACTGAGACAACATTAATTGACCTCTTCCACGAAAACAAAATAAGACTCATAGCACTTTGTTGGTTAAAAGAATGTGAATAACATTGACTTCCCTTTTAGAAAGGGCTGTGTGTTGCCTGAATAAAAGGAAGCAATTAAACACTGTCTTTAAAAATGACATGTTAAATTTTCAGTTAAACATCTGCTGGTAGGTCAGGGTTTGCTGGAGATTTTGACGTGGTCCAAGGGGCCCGTAGTTTCCTATTATAGGGAGTTAATAAGCCCATAATGACAATGCCATGTGATCTATTTCTTTTTCTTTTCCATCTTTTCTAAAGATGAAGTTATTCAGCTGTTTGCTATTTGACACTAAATAAAGTCTAAAGAGGCCAGAAGATCCATTTCTGAGAACAGCAACATCGTAAAATCAAAGACTATTTATCTGCATCCAAATGGAAAAAAAAAGACATCAAATATTCATGTTAAGTTGACTTTTATGTACTCTTAGTCGTGTTAATATAAAGTATTGAAATCACTCAGGAATTACTGTCCACTTACAGATGGCTTCTGAGCAGTGAAAGAGATTGGGGGGTGCCAATTCCAAACAAATACACACACACAAAACCATATATTTTTGTTTTTAAAAACTTATGGGATGAGTGAAAGTTTGTTCATTTTTATGCTGGTGACAATTCCAGCCCTCACAGAAATGAAAACTAAAGAATAACATGTATCCAACAGTGATTTTAGCACCCATGTTTTTGGTGTCAAATGCTCTGCAAACTAATGGTCCTCCCTTTTGGGTACCATCACTTGAGATTTGGATGGCATTGTGACCTTTTTTCACAAAAGTGCACTTAGACAATCCATAGTAACTGAATACTCTTTCAATAGTACCTTTAGTTTCTGATATCCATTTGTCGATCTTTAGGAATCCTTAAACACTAAGATCTTCCACAGAAGTGTTTGACAACATCCTTTGGGAGAAGATCAACTGTATGGCTTACCATGACATGGTAAGTGACCGATCTACCATGTGATTTTACCATTCTTTTCCTTTGTTTAAAATTCAAAGTGCTATCATTATTTTTTTTTAAATCCACTCCATAAAGTTTTCTTTTCCTAATAGTAATACATTCAGGTAGCTGGTATAAGTACCATGTCTAGTCATGAGCCTTTCTTCTCTAGCTAGCTGTATACACTGAACTTTCTCCCAGTTTGAGCTTCCTGGTAGCATCTTCTTCTTTGTAACTGTCCTTTGCCTGTTTTTCTTCCCCTGAAGACTAAGTAGCGAAGAGGCTTCTTTTTTTACTTGGAATATTGCCTGCTATTCATGGATTTTCCATTCTTTTTTCTCCCCCCGACCCCCCGCCCCACCATACAAGCTAATATAAAGGGACAGGCTGAAATGTAACCATACACACCTACTCCAGCTCATCTCAGAAGCTGAGATGCTTATGGTATGCATGCAGCCTTGACAGCAAGGAAGCAAAACCTCAGTCTCGTTTATGAAGAGGCCAGCCCATCTCTAGCACTGAGCAGCAGGATGCTTTTCACCTCCGCCCACTGTAGGATGTTTGAGTCCTACCAAGACTTAATATAGCAATATCAGGCTCCACAGAAGTTACTAATGGTATCATTTTCTACTCGTCTTCACCAGAGAGCCATCAAGATTTCATCTAAACTTGTTCATCAAAACTTTCAGAAATAATAATGGCTCCCATCTGAATCTTCATCAAACATGCCTTTTTTTTACAAGGAATCGTCTGATACCACTCCGAGAGAAAAATGGTCTTTTGTCCTGCACATTTCAGCAACTGTAGATTGTCAACCCTGAGGATCTGAAACACTAGGCAAACAAAGTAGAAGAGAGAAGAAAGATTTTAAGGCCTTTGTCAGACCTTTGTCAGAGTATAAAATACCCTGATTCTGGTGTCATTTAAATGGCTGAAGAGATTTGGGGCAATTCCTTTGAAAGTCATTACAATTCTCATTTCATTATAGATTATTTGATAGCTGGTAAATCAGAACTAAAGTAAAGTGGAACTTCTTAAACTAGTATGAAAATCAAAACCAAATGAAGCTCTTTAGACCAGTCTGGTTCTTCTCAAATAACTCACCTGGCTTAAAACCATGTTATATAATCATAATAGTGATGCCTTTGTGTATGTTCTCATATTTCACATAGAAGCGACTTGTAGTGAGACACACAATTAGCAAATTTACTTGGATTGTTTTTCCAGGATCAGTAAACATAAATAAGAATAATAATGGCTCTTAAGAAGTTAATTGTAACAGAAAAACTACAAATGTGCTTAATGATAAATATATAATATAAAATTTTAAGGTATAATCTGACTATTGACCTCTAGCTAAACTGTTTGTGATATTGTAACACATAAGGCCTATGTGTAAAAAATGCTACCTCAACATCCCCAAAACACTAAAAATATCAATTTAAACATGAATTTTCCTGAGTTTTCTGAGGCATCTATTTAAAATAATCATATGAACATCATATGAACATGGCAGTTGGTCACCATGATTCTTCAATCAACAAATGCAAAATCATTCATAGGGCCCTAGTTTACCTTTTCTTATTCAATTCTTGGCCTAGTTTACCCATATTTAAAAACAGAAATCACATTGCAACTTTGGACTGCCTAAAAGTAATTCCTTGCATAAGGAAAATTTAGTTTCCTGCTTCTCTTTATCTGCACTTTGAAGGATGTTAGAAATTGAGGAAAATATAACCTTATAGAAGCGTGTTAGCTCCTGTCAGTACAAAGTCTGATGTTATATTTACAGTATGAAATAAGTTCATACTGTATCAAATGTGTTTCCAAATGGGAAGCCAAAACCTACATAAACTCTGTTTTGCCAAGAAATTTTCTGCCATGGCTTCCCCTGTTGATAGAAAGTCTAAACGTAGGCCTCAGAGGAAGAGGGAAGGCACCTCTTTACATCAGCCTTCTTGGCAACAGAAGAAAGTGCTATATTGTTCTTCACACAAACCCTGCCCATTAGAGCTCAAGATGTTCTTTTCCTTCTAACCCTCATTTGTACCCCTTAGCCATTTGTTTAGAATTAAATTAACTGCAATTTGGAAAGTGCGGATGAAAGGCAGTGCATTGAGTAGGCATCACGTGTTTCCTGAATGGTGCCTGTTCAGCCTCTTTCACGGCCATTCACTGCGCTTGAAAGGGTGTAGCGTGTGAATTGTTGGACTGTCACTCCGTGGAGAAGTCTGGCAGACAGTATTACCATGGAAACAGCAGGAAAAAGACAATTAACAAAATGGTTCTGATTTTTTCTTTCTATTTCTTTTTCTACTCTTTGGATGTAGGGAGACATCCCCCCCCCTTTAAGTGTACACTTGCACACACCCGCATACCCCAATGCACATGTAGAAAATTCAATATTTGAATTTCTCACTAAATTGGACTCTTCTGTGGATGGCATCAGCGAATTACAGCAAGTTCATACATCCAATATAAAATATTTATAAATGAATCTCTCAACTTATTCATCCCTTCCCCCTCTACTTTTTTGTTCTTTTCAGACATTGAAAGAATTCTTTGGAAATATCCTTAGGTAAATGACTGTTAATGAGCAGAGCCTGTGATTTTAACCCTGGCACATTCATGGGACTTTTAATTAGTCCCTCTTACCATCACTCCTATGACAGAAACACAATGTGAGCCCAAGAGCTTAAACCAAAAGGAGGCTCTCTTCAGATTTCCCAAAGTTCGATTGAGTGGGAGCATCAGAACAGCCACGACTGTTCGGATTTCTGACGAACGGGTTCACTGAACATGAAGGGAATGTTTGATGTCACCCTGGATTCTCGAAATTTTGTTTTGCAATCTAAACTTTGTCAGACTTGGATTGCCTTTAAAAAAGACTATAAATAAAGGGAATGAGTGTACATTTTAGGTGTCATAATTAAAGAAAAATGCGAGTGAGAGACCTATGGAGCCCACTGGTTGGATATTCCATTAAGGTGAAACGCTGTGCTGTGCAGATGAAGACCCAAGTGCAGAGATACTTGGGAGTGAAAAATCAAGTTTTATTTGCATGCTGTATTTAAAATCTGTTCTCTTTCCTCATTTTTTGGGGGAAAATTACAATTCTGTAGGTGGCCTGGGTCAAGAAGTGAGCTTGAGAATACTCTGGCTTTACATTTTTTTTTAAAGTTCTCAATATGAATAAAATGTTGTAGTATCTATTATTTTATAGACTATTTTATTGGTATTCCTGGAATCCTAGGCAAGTCTCCAGTAATCTTTCTTAAAGTTTCCCTAGGAACTGCCTACCCAGTGCTGTATTACATGCTCTTTTACTTTTTTCCAGCGTTCTTTAACCTGCTCAGAGAATCCTATTCTCTTCTTCAGTTGTTTTTTCTCTATTTTGACAGCAGTAATTATAAAATGAGCTCTTTGGTATAAAATCCCGGGGAACACTTTCAGTCGAGGAAATAATCTGTCCCCCCCCCTCAATTTTAGAATTTGTCAGATTTAAAAGAGCCTATTAAGTTCTGCTAAAATATTTAGAATATATGTTATCTAGTTTGGACGCATAATTTTCTTTATGAAATAAAACTAAAAGACAGCCTTTGAAAATTGGGAGATGTTCTTGTCTTGGGCATTCACATTCTGTTGAAAGGTATTAGATATTTATACTATGAAAAAAACCTAAAGAAAACATTGGCACCTTGGACAGTATTCTAGAAAAAAGCTATGTGAAACTTGGAAAAATATGTATGGTTTTGAAATGAAGTCAAGAAAAACTTGGCATTTTTAATAGGAGGAAATCGCAAACCCTTTAGAGATTTTCAAATTCTCTAATCCTGTTTAGCTCCAGCATCACTGTATTTAACTTTTAGACATCGTGTCTTTGAGATGGACAGAGAAATTCCTGCAGAATTTCTCAGGAAGTCTGTGAGAAGTTAATTATTTTTAATTTATCATGCACTATTCCAGAGTACAGAAATTGAAACCTACAATCGTAAGAGGAAATACAGAATTGGCTCACCTAGCTTATTGTAGTGTATGTTTCGTTAGTAAAAACTCATGTGATATTGATAGCCATAGAATGACTCACCTAAGAAAAGGTCAGTGAGTAAGTATGGGACTTAGGGGATACTCACACTTCATCACCTTCATGGACACCTTCGGCACCCCCAGTGTCTACACCAGGGTCGCTTACCAAGTAAGCTTCCTCAAGATACACATGCTTGGTAAATGGATCTCACTTGGGCACCATGACAAAGCAGAGTTCTGACCCATTCGTCCGTCCACAAGTCTTTTAACCTATTTAATTTCTTGTTCTGGGTTTTCTCCTTCAGTTAAGCCTCAGGATTGTTTGGCTTATGGATTTACGTGTTTCTAAAACTCTGTCTGATGGCTGCCCTCTGAGCAGTGCAGGCCATAGGCCTTTCTCTGCAGCCCCCGTGAGCATTGCTCTTTAGTCTTCTTCCCCACAATAGCGTTGTGTGGTAGGAAGTACGAAGAGCTTAACATATTGAATATACGTATCACTAAGCCATATGGTGTCACACCAGTTCTCTTGATAACAGATGTTGGCAGACATTGAACTTTCGTTATTAAAAATAGTATCACCATAATATATTTTAGAAATATTCCTGTACACAGGGCTTTAATTCTGAGAATTAGGAAGAGCAGTGAAGCAGACACAGCTATAGGCATGCAAGCCGATAGCAATTACTTAATAACACACTTTCTGTGGTAAAGCTATTTTATTATACCGTGCATTTTAGATTTAGGTCGTAGTTTACAGTGTTTTCCATAATGGTTTGATGGTTAAAATATTTTATATACTTTATTAAGTTAAATATTTTATTTTTCCTAAATATCCAGAGAATTACAATATGCTTTGTTCCTGAAATGACATACCAAACATTGCCACATTGCATGGTATTACTTTTAGCGGTGCCAATGAACAACCAAGGGAAGGTCTTTTTGTCATATTTTCAAAGACCTTAGATCCCCCTTTGTTACATCTTAAAGACTAACACATAACTGCCCCAGTAACTGATGTATACAGAATGCCTTTGCTTGCAATCCCCCACACATGTCTCCCTCTGGCTATGATGAACATGTCTGCTAGATTCCCAAGGTCAAGGTCAGTCTGGTAAATAATAGCCAGGGGCCCCTACCTTCAGCTGTCTTACCCTTGGGCACCGCAGAAGTTTAGCCCCTGCAAATATCCCCAGCATATCTAATTCCAACTTAGAATTTTCCCTAATCTCGAATTTGTTTAGACAGTTGAGACAAAGCTCTATACACCATAAAATGGTGCTTATAGAAGTGAACAACAGGAAATTTAAAATAATTAATTATCTACTGCAAGGCAGGACAAGGTGGGTCAAAGAGCAATAGCATTGGAATACACAGATGTGTGTTCATTCCATGCTGTGAATGTCGCCTGTGTGTTCTTGGACTGGTCATCTTTTTTTCATCCCAGCACTTCAGTTTCTCATGTGCAATGCTGAAGACTGAAATAGATATGAATATTTTTGCAAAATTATAAAATAAGAAATATAAATACTTTTATGCATGGTCCATAAGTGGACTTAAATAAATTAAGTTTGTCACTGTTACTGCAATGTACTGTGATTTAGATTTCTTTTTCCATCATCATTGTCAAGAATTTAGTGGATCATCATATTAATGATCTAGAGAGCTTTTGACAAATTTGTGTAATGGCAAGGGAATTTCCTATTTGCTCTAGATTTCATCGGAGAAAGTTATTATCGCTTGGTCATTATTTTGTGAAGGCTCTTGGAAAAGTGATATTTTAATATTACTTCAATAAAAGAAGAAACAACGCATAAT